TCAGGGTGTGAGGGTCTAGAGTCTCACAGTTCAGTCTGAGGTTCAGATCCTGAGCCCTCGACCTCTAAGCGTGAGCTTCACAACCAAAAGGAACCAAAGCTCGCCTTGAAGTGCGCCTCCACCAGCCTGCCATACACCTGATCGAAATCAGGCGAGGGCTCCTTAGGGTTTTCGGGGCTTGGGTTGCAGGATACACCAACCCCCACGCAAACCCTAAACACTAGACCCTGAAAATCCCAAACCCAAAACCCACCCAAAAATGCCCCTTCAAAAACAAATTCATCTGCGCCTTATTTTGGGTCGGGGGGCCAACCTCTGAAACCAAACCCTAACACCCTATATACACCCTAGAGCCCTAAACCACGAACCCCTAACACCCTAAGACCCTAAACCCCAAACCCTTAGAGTCCTTGGGGGGGTAGAGTGTAGGGTGAAGGTTTTTTCGCAAGGATGCGTGAAACGTGAGCAGTGGCTGGACATGTTTGGCTGGGCCCCGTTGCATCCATGCACTCCAGCTCTTCATCCACATCCTGCGTAGGACTGCAGATTTGGGGTTTAGGGTTTTGGGTTTAGGATTTTGGTTTAGGATTTCGGGTTTAGGGTTGATTTCGGGGTTTAGGAGTTTAGGGGTTTAGAGGGCTTAGGGGTCTAGCGGGTTGAGGGTTCAGGGTTTCAGGCCCCTAAACCCTTAACTCCCTAACACCCCAAGCCCTCGAAACCATCTAAACCCTTCAATCGTGAAAGCTCTTCATAGGAATCTATGACCGTGTGTTCTTTAGAGTTTGCGATCAAATAGGGGTCCCCAATTTCGACCAACACCCCCCCCCCCCCGGCCTCAGTACTCATGGTCCAGGGGACCATCAAGGCTTTGAGGACAAGGCTTGGGGTTTAGGGTTGAGGGTTGGGGGTTAAAGGTTGAGGGTTTAGGGGTTTAGGGTCTAGGGTTTAGGGTTCAAGGTTTAGGGTTGAGGGTTCAGGGTTCAGGGTTTGGAGTTTAGGGCTTAGGAGCTTAGGGTTCAGGAGTTAAAGTTTAGGGTTTGAGGGCTTGAAGTTTAGGGTACGACAGCGGTTCACAAGTGTAAGTCTGCCTTTCGGGCAGAGACGAGATTCAACCCTGGAGCACCAAGCCCTAACCCTAAACCTTAAACCCTAAACCCTAAATCCACCAAGAACTCCTTGATGAGGCAGCTTTCGAGGATTCGATCCTCAAGATTGCTCCTGAGCTTCTTTCAAAATAGGGAAGAGAGGGCTCTGCCAAAATAGAGGAAAGAGAGGGAGTAGGGAGAGAGAGAGAGAGAGAGATTCGTCTTTTTGGGCCCCTACTTGGAGGTTTAGGGCACTTAGTAACCAATTCTAAGTGCAGTTTTAACTCACTTAGAAGCCCCTTCAGTACCCTAATAGGGTTATAATTGGGTTAGAAGTGCAGATATTTTTGGGCTACGAAGTACCATGAAACTCCAGGTAAACCCCTGAACCACTGTACCTCTGGTCCCTTAAACGCCTCTAAACCTCATCAAATCCCAGTAAACATCGAAATCCCTAAACCCCAAACGCCCCACCATTCCACTACCATCTGCCTAAGAAACCCCAAAGAAATGCTCTTCTTTATTGGGGCAATGGAGGGGTTCTTCTTCTTCTTCTTCTCTTCTTCTTCTTCTTGTTCTTCTTCTTCTTATTCTTCTTCTTCGTCGTCTTCTTCATGCTTTGGGTCTTAAGCAACCCCTGTACCCTAAACGCTAAACCCTAAACCCTCAACCCTAAACCCTAAACCCCAAACCCTAAACCCTAAACCCTAAGTAGTAGCTCAAGGCCAGGATCAAGTCCGCGTACTGCCCGGCCGCCCTCGTCGTAGGCGAGGGAAGTCTCGGGGTCGATCGCAGGCCCACGAAGGTGGATGCCTGGCAATTAAGTTTTTGGCTGAGCAGGTTTTACCTTGGGTATAAGGTGAAGGGTTTAGGGGTTAGGGTTCAGGGCTTTGGGGTTTAGGGGTTTAGGGGTTTAGGGGTTTAGGGGTTTACGAGTTTACGGGTTTACGGGTTTAGGGGTTTAGGGTTTAGGGTTTAGGGTTTAGGGTCTAGGGGTTCGTGGGGACGGTTTTGGCTGACTCACTGTCTGTCTACAAGGAACCCAGGCTGGCGCCATGCGCGTACACTGGCCCCAACTCGATCCTGGCTGGGAAGTTGCCAGCCCTGCTTACCCTAAACCCTAAACCCTAAACCATAGAAGCGGACCATGCGCCGCTGCCTTGGGACTTTGATGACAGCGGCCAGCGAAAGGGGAACCATCGGGTCTTTCGGGTTTAGGGTTTAGGGTTCAGGGTTTAGGGTTCAGGTTTAGGGCTTGGTGTTTAGGGTTCAGGGATCCCAAGGCCAAAAGTTTTCCCAGCACACAGGCATCACACACTCTTGCGGACGAGCAGCGTGCCTCGAAGTGCCGTTTTAACTACGCCGGCTAGCGGAATACTTAATTACTTAATACCCTTCTAATAAATAGCAAAACAACAGTATATATGTATGTATATGTATATGTATATGGTTCTGTATATATGGTACTTCCTAATTCCGGCTGAGACCCCAGGGCTCTCACTTGGTGTTCGGAGTCTGCCGGGAATAGAAAGAGGGTGGATGCTCCAGGAATTTAAGGGTCTGTGAAGGGCCCAAGAGTGCTGAGGATCCCAACTGGGAAAGCAGGCACCGGCAACTCCTGCGGCCCCGAACCCGATTTCTGGCCTCTGCTGCTAGGGAACTTGCATAAAGGTCACCCGAAGAAGGAAGCCATGCTATTGTTACTACGATTCTATCTTGATTGACTTATTTAGTTAGTTAAGTCCATTTATTTCTATGAATGTTTGACTTATGTATTTGGTTTGTGAATTACGTAGTTCTTTATATGCATATTTTTTCCAATAGCCATGCTGTTCCTGAGCAGAAACACAGCTTGCAGGCCTGCCAGGACAGCACGGCGGCCCTTAGCAAGGAGCTCTCAAATCTCTGCAACCTTTCGCCTCTGGACCCCTAGGCCCTAAAGGACCTAGAGCACGTAGGGTTTTGGGGTTTGGGGTTTTGGGTTCAGGGTTCAGGGTAAACCCTGAACTCAAAACCCTAGAAAGAGCCGGCCGAAAGGGGGGGGGAGGGGTGCGGGGCTTCGGAAAAAGGGTGCTCGTAGGGGTTGAAAGGTTTAGGATTTGGTTTAGGGTTTAGGGTTTAGGGTTTAGGGTTTAGGGTTTAGGGTTTAGGGTTTAGGGTTTAGGGTCTAGGGTCTAGGGTCTAGGGTTTAGGGTTTAGGGTTTAGGGTTTAGGGTTTAGGGTTTAGGGTTTAGGGTTTAGGGTTTAGAGTTTAGCGTTTAGGGTGTGGGGCTTAGGGTTTGGGGCTTAGGGTTTGGGGCTTAGAGTTTAGGGTTTAGGGTTTAGGGTTTCGGGTTTTTTTAGGGGCTTACTGTTCAGGGGTTTGCTTATGTTTGCTTGTACAAGGCTGCCGAAACCGATTTGACCCTTCCGACGAGTCGTCTAGGAGTCTAGGGCTCAGGATTTAGGGTTTAGGGTTTAGGGTTTATAGATTAGGGTGTAGGGTTTACGGTTCAGGGTTCGGTGTTTAGGAACATTCCTCAAACCAGGCTGCAAACCGTGTCCGCGGGGAATATGCGGCCCTAACCCTAAACCCTGAACTCCCTGAACCCTAACCCTAAGCCCGAAGCCCCTAAACCCAAAACCTTAAACCCAAAACCATTAATCAAGGGATACTGAAGCCAGAAACTGCACCCTTGCGGTAAGTGCAGCCTAGAGATATTTGTTTATGATACTAGGCGAATATTGAACACGGTCGGTAGCGTCAGGTGGGTTTAGGGTTTGGGGTTTCGGCGGCTTTCTTTTGAAACAAGAGTGGATTTGTAGCCCTAAACCCAAATCTTCAAACCCTAAACCCTAAAACCCTAGAGACTCCTATTCTGGACCCCAACCCAATAGGATCGCATACCCCCGCATGAGTCCAGGCCGTTGATCGAAAGAGCAGTTTCGTTTTCGGGTTTCGGGTTTCGGGTTTCGGGTTTCGGGTTTAGGGTTTAGGGTTTAGGGTTTAGGGTTTAGGGTTTAGGCTTTCGGGTTTAGGGTTTAGGGTTTAGGGTTTAGGGCTTCGGGTTGAGGGTTTAGGGTTTAGGGTGTAGGGGACGGCAGCTGGTGTGCTTGAGGCTTTTCGTCGCGTCTCGATAAAAGGACAGTCCCTTGGAGAGAAGTCCTGCAGACCTGCAGCATCCCTAAACCCTAAACCCTAAATCCTAAACCCGAAACCCTAAACCCTAACCCTAAACCCTAAACCCTAAACCCTAAACCCTAAAACCTAAACCCTAAACCCTAAACCCTAACCCAAAACCCAAAACCCAAAACCCTAAGCCCTAAACTTTCGTACCGACGCCTCCCCCTGAGCTCCAACCCAAGATGCCAGCGGCCACCTTACCCAGAGACTCCAGTATCCTTTCCTTAAAGTTTCCAGGTTAGGGTTTAGGGCTTAGGGCTTGGGGTTTGGGAGTTTAGGGTTTAGGACTTTAGGGTTTTCGAGTTTAGGGTTTAGGGGTTTAGGGTCTAGGGTCTCGGGCTTAGGGATTAGGGGCATTAAAATTGCAATACGGATCCTTGTGTGAGTTGAGAAATATTCCAATTTCGCTAGGAGATATTGGAGTCTTTTGGGGTAATTAAGAAATCACGAAAACTAAACAAACGGCGGCAGCTTCGCTGCGCGTCTCTCAGCTCGTAACCTCCGGTCTGAAACCGTTACTAAGGACCTCGTTCTGCGAGTCTAGGGTCGCTCGTAGGGATTAGGGTTTAGGGCTTAGGGCTTAGGGTTTAGGGTTCAGGGTTTAGGGTTTAAGGTTTAGGGTTTAGAGTTTAGGGTTTAGGCTTTCGGGTTTATGGGTTTAGGGCTCAAGCTTTCGAAGCTGAGGGTCTGAGGTGTGGGTTAAGCAGCAAGTGTAGCTTTGCAAGTAGCTCTCCCCACATGAACGCTCAACTTCATGAAGCTGCTACTGCTGCCCTGGTAGCAGTAGCTGCCTCCACAGCTACATCAACGGAGGCTTGCTCCTTTCGCTTGCTTATGGATCTCGAGGCGTTGTTCACTAACTTCGTCAGCTCGCGCATGGACTCCTGACGCCACGGGTTACCAGGAGACTTGCGGCAATCCAGAGTTCATGTCTCGGGGCCTCGCCTGAACCCAAAATCCTAAATCCTAAGCTTTTTCGGCTTGGAACAATGCTGGAACCCAGAAGTAAGAAGAAGGCATGCCGTTGAAGCAGCTTCCTTGCTTGTACGGCCGAGGCAGTGGGAATCATGAATGCAAGCGCACAGTATGCATAAGTGCTCCCTGCAGAGTGCTCAATCCGTCTGCAAGAAGACCTTAAGTCGCGGCCCCTGATGGATATTCCTCAGGACACCTTAAACCCTAAACCCTGCACCCTAAACCCTACACCCTAAACCCTAAACCCTAAACCCTAAACCCTAAACCCTAAACCCAAAACCCTAAACCCTAAAGCAAGAAGGGCTCTCAACTCTGGCTTCCCCGCCCAGCTCCTGGTGTTTCGTTGTCAAGGATGAGGTGATCGAAGCCTCCAAACCATGAAGGTGCGTCCTGACTTGATCTCCTTGGTAGCCACAGTAGCCATCTTATAATGATGGCAGGGGTTTAGGGTTTAGGGGTTTGGTTTTTAGGTTAGGGTTTAGGGTTTAGGGTTTAGGGTTTAGGGTTTAGGGTTTAGGGTTTAGGGTTTAGGGTTTAGGGTTTAGGGTTTAGGGTTTAGGGTTTAGGGTTTCGGGTTTCGGGTTTCGGGTTTCGGGTTTCGGGTTTAGGGTTGCTTTATAAGGGGACCTTGAACCCAATAAATGGAAAAGGGTACCCCTGGGCTACCAAGTCTCCCAGGCCATGAAGCATACTCTTGACCTGGTCTCCATTCCCGTCGATGTCCTCCATCTTATTGTGCAAAGCCACGAGCTCCTCCTGCAACCCCAAAAGCCTAAACCCTCAACCCTCAACACTCAACCCTAAACCTGAAACCCAAAACGGCAGCCGCGACAACGGGTAGCTGGGAGTCTAGCGAGATGATAGAGCCATCCTAGAGTCAAACCTGAAATTCAAGTGGGTATCAACTTCCTACTAAGGAACCAGTCTAGACTTGGAGCACTGCTGGCCATCTCCCAAGATCGGCCTCGAAACTGTCAAAGCCCACATGGGCTTCAATACGGGCAGTGACAGAAGCACTGACGTCAGCCAGGGCCTTGACGACCTCAGGTTTAGGGTTTAGGGTTTAGGGTTTAGGGTTCAGGGTTTAGGGTTTAGGGTTTAGGGTTTAGGTTTTAGGCAGTTTAGGGTTTAGGCAGTTTAGGGTTTAGGCAGTTTAGAGTTTCAGAAAGATCCGCCTCGCAGTGCTTGGCATCTATGGCTGTCAGGACCGATGCGAAGTGTATGTCCAGCTTCTGCTCGCGAAGGGCTTGCAAAACTACAGAGAGGTCGACTTCCTTGTCATTAATGGCTGCCAACACCGATGAAAAGTCCACATCATACTTCTTGGCATCGATGGCCGTCAAAACGGATGAGAAATCCACATCAAACTTATGCCCACGGATGGCTTGAAGAACTACAGAGAAGTCGACTTCCTTGGCATTAATGGCTGCCAACACCGCTGAAAAGTCTACGTCAACCTTCTTGGCATCGATGGCCGTCAAGACAGGTGAGAAGTCCACATCAAACTTCTGCTCATGGATGGCTTGCAACACTTCAGAGAAGTCTACGTCAACCTTCTTGGCATCGATGGCCGTCAAGACAGATGAGAAGTCCACATCAAACTTCTGCTCATGGATGGCTTGCAACACTTCAGAGAAGTCTACGTCAACCTTCTTGGAATGGATGGCCGTCAAGACAGATGAGAAGTCCACATCAAACTTCTGCTCATGAATGGCTTGCAACACTTCAGAGAAGTCTACGTCAACCTTCTTAGCATCGATGGCCGTCAAGACTGATGAGAAGTCCACATCAAGCTGCTGCTCGCGGATGGCTTGCAACACTTCAGAAAAGTCTACGTCAACCTTCTTGGCATCGATGGCCGTCAAGACAGATGAAAAGTCCACATCAAACTTCTGCTCATGGATGGCTTGCAACACTTCAGAGAAGTCTACGTCAACCTTCTTGGCATCGATGGCCGTCAAGACAGGTGAGAAGTCCACATCAAACTTCTGCTCATGGATGGCTTGCAACACTTCAGAGAAGTCTACGTCAACCTTCTTGGCATCGATGGCCGTCAAGACAGATGAAAAGTCCACATCAAACTTCTGCTCATGGATGGCTTGCAACACTTCAGAGAAGTCTACGTCAACCTTCTTGGCATCGATGGCCGTCAAGACAGATGAGAAGTCCACATCAAACTTCTGCTCATGGATGGCTTGCAACACTTCAGAGAAGTCTACGTCAACCTTCTTGGCATCGATGGCCGTCAAGACAGATGAGAAGTCCATATCAAACTTCTGCTCATGGATGGCTTGCAACACTTCGGAGAAGTCTACGTCAACCTTCTTGGCATCGATGGCTGTCAAGACTGATGAGAAGTCCACATCAAGCTGCTGCTCGCGGATGGCTTGCAACACTTCAGAAAAGTCTACGTCAACCTTCTTGGCATCGATGGCTGTCAGGACTGATGAGAAGTCCACATCAAGCTGCTGCTCGCGGATGGCTTGCGTAATCTCAGAGAAATCGACATCAAGCTTCTGCTGATGGATGGCCTGTAGAAGTTCGGACAAGTCTACATCAACTCTTTTGGCATCGATGGCTCTCATAACTGATGAGACGCCCGCGTCAATTTTCTGCTCTATGTCTATCGTCTTCGCCTCGACTGCTGTCAGAAGAACTTCTGTGGATTGCAAGACTGCGGCAAAGTCCAAATCATACTGTCTCTTTGCGATGGCTGTCAGCACTGGTGAGAAGTCCACCTTCCTGCCCTCAAGGGCTGCAAGCAGCGTGGACATGTTTGCAGTCATCTCTGCACGGATACTCCTCATCTCGGTGAGAAGAGCGTCGGACGAAAGACCGATGTGATGACTGATCTGCTTTGACAACTGCTGCCGAAGGTCTTTGAGCATCCTTGCAAGGATCTCGAAGCTGAAACCGCATCCCGGCGGGCCAGTAGCTGTGCCAAGGTCCTCTATGTCTCCTATATGCCTTGGTAGACCAGTAACCACATGATACTAAGGCAACCCTTTTTGGTTGGCTACCTTATAGGGGAACCCATAGCAAAAACAAACAAGGTAAAGGGTACCACTGGGCTGCTTGGAGGTTCATGGTACTTAGTAACCCAATGAAACCCTATTAGGGTACTTGAGGGGGGTCAGAAGTGGGGTTTAACGAGACTTATCATTGGCTACTAAGTACCCTGAACCTCCAAGCCCTAAACCCTAAACCTAAACCGTAAACCTAAACCCTAAACCCTACACCCTAAACCCTACACCCTAAACCCTAAACCCTAAACCCTAAACCTCCAAGTGGGCTACCAAGATGCCCAAAAGGCGTTTGGAACGTATCGAGCTTCGACCACTGGTGGCGCTCCTCGTTCACTTTCGAGATGTCGATGGTCCGGAACTCAGAAAGCGAATGTGTTGTCGCGTTGCCTCGGCATGAACCGCTTCACGAGGGGTTTAGGGTTTAGGGTTTAGGGTTTAGGGTTTAGGGTTTAGGGTTTAGGGTTTAGGGTTTAGGGTTTAGGGTTTAGGGTTTAGGGTTTAGGGTTTAGGGTTCAGGGTTCAGGGTTGATGAGGGTTCAGGGTTTAGGGTCCATGTAGGAGACCCTACTCCGACTTGAAGTCGCACTGAAGCGCGGGAGCCCTGTCGTCGACAAGGCGGTACAGGTACACCCTGAACCCGAAACCCTAAACCCTAAACCCCAAACCCCAAACCCCAAACCCTAAACCCTAAACCCTAAACCCTAAACCCTAAACCCTAAACCCTAAACCCTAAACCCTAAACCCTAACCCTCAACCCTAACAAACCCTGCGAACTCAAGACCTAGCCGCCCCCCATCGAATAGGTCGTCGCCCATGCGTCCAAGGGATATCCATGGTTCAACGGGTCATGTTCATTGTATCTGGAGGATGGGGCGAAACTCCTGAGGTGGGCGCGCAAACGATTCGGGTTGAAGGTTAGCGTTTAGGGTTAGGGTTTAGGGTTTAGGGTTTAGGGCTTAGGGTTTAGAGTTTAGGGTTTAATGCTTAGGGTTTAGGGTTTAGGGTTTAGAGTTTAGGGCTTAAGGCTTAGGGTTTAGGGCTTAGGGTTTAGGGTTCAGGGTTTAGGGTTTAGGGTTTAGTCAAGCTTCCAGGTCCAAACTCAATGGTGAATGACTGGCTGCTGGAGGCCCTTCTATGTGGGGATGGGCTACACGCACATTACACATTGGGATGTTCACTTAGGGGTTTAGGGTTTGGGGTTTAAGGTTTAGGGTCGAGGGTCCAGGGTTTAGGGTGTTCCCCCTTATACGAACAGGGATGATCATAGGGGGTACGGTACTCCCTATTCAGGACTGCTAGTATAAGGGGGAACATCACAAATTACACAGCCCACACGCTGGAGCACAAATGACCTAATAAAGTGTGAGATATTCTACTTGGAGGTTCATGGTACTTAGTAACCCAATTATGACTGTACTTATAACCCGAATGTAACCCAATTGGGGTACTTCAGGGGCTTATAAGTGGGTAATAAGTACACTTATAGCTGGGTTATGAGTACCCTGAACCTCCAAGTAAAACGAAAGTGAATGCTTCTCCAGCAACTTGTACTAGCATAGAACAACAGCAATAGTTCCAGGAAGTATATTCTAGTAGCTGACCCTATAGACCCTAAACCCTTAAACCCTAAAACCCTAAACCCTAAACCCTAAACCCTAAACCCTAAACCCTATACCCTAAACCCTAAACCCTAAACCCTAAACCCAAACCCTGGGTCCTGAAGACTCCGGGGCCTGATGTGGCTGCCCCTGCGTCCGGGTGAGGGCTTGCGCTGCCATGGTGGACCCTGACATGGGTGAAGCTCGGGTTTAGGGTTTAGGGCTTAGGGTTTAGGGTTTAGGGTTTAGGGTTTAGGGTTTTGGGTTTAGGGTTTAGGGTGTAGAGTTTTAGGGATTAGGGTTTAGGGTTTAGGATTTAGGGTTTAGGATTTAGGGTTTAGGGTTTAGGGTTTAGGGTTTAGGGTTTAGGGTTTAGGGTTTAGGGTTTAGGGTTTAGGGCCGAAACTAGGGGAGTTACCAATATTCGCTGTACTGTACTGTCCTGCACTTTCATCACTGCTGCTACTACTAGCCACGACCACTACCACTACCACGACCACGACCACGACCAGGACCACCACCACGATGACGACGACGACGACGACGACGACGACCACGACGACGACGACGACGACGACTACTACTAACTCCTACTCCTACTCCTCCTCCTCCTCCTACTCCAAGTCCCACTCCGACTCCTACTCCTCCTCCTCCTCCTACTCATACTCCTACTCATACTCCTACTCCTTCTCCTGCTCCTGCTTTTTCTGGTACTATACACATACCCACAAACATTGACTGTATCTTCGGGTAGTTACATGGTCCCTTAGCATGGGCCCTTACAAGGGGGGCCCCCTTATATACCCTATGCAACCCATGATTTGATATTAGCGACGCTCCTATTTTCCTTGAGCCAAAAGTAGCGTTAGTCAAGGTACATGCACTCATCCCTTTAGGAGAATACGTGTCCGGAATCACCCCTCCTGGACGGATGCGGGTGAGCTGACGTCCACTGTAGGACACTGTACACTACACTACTGCTTTTGCTATTCCGCTTCTACCGGAAACTAGCTCAAAGCTCATTCGGCGCAGGTGTTGCTCGGCAGACTCAGTGCTTAAGGACTTGGTGAGCAAGTCCGCGGTATTGATCTTAGTATCGATCTTGAAAAGCTCGAACTGTCCGTTCGCAAGCTTCTCTTGGATCCATAGGTATCGTGTTTGCACGTGTCTGGATTTTCCCAGACCAAGACGACTGCATGTCCCCAGCGCAGCAGCGCTGTCGGTATGCACCTGTAACTTCATTTCTATCCCCCATCCACGAAGAAGCTCTTGCGTGGCCATTCCGCTGGCTACACCCTTGACCAGTGCGTAGTATTCGGCCTCTCCCGAAGATAGCGACACTGTACTCTGGAGGTTGCTTGAATGTCGCACTTCGTGGCGTCCATAATAACACACTAGTCCGGTGGTGCTCTTCCGTGTCTGGAGACATCCGGCGAAGTCACTGTCTGCATGGATCGTGACTATCGAACTAAACCTTTGTGGCGCGAACCTTTGCACCAGTCGCATTGCACCTTTCAAATACCGAGCAAGTCTCTTGAGGTCAGCAAAGTCCGCTTCAGTCGGGCCTTGCATTCTCCTCGCAAGACATTTGACCGATTCCGACAGGTCTGGCCTGTCTTGAGCCAGGAACGCTGCTCGCATAACCAGCGAGCGGTATTTCTGGCTCCACGGTCGGGAGCTGAAGTCTCTTCTCCAAATCTTCAGCTTTCATCTTCTCGTTTGGGCTCTTTACTGGCTTGCATGTTTCCATGTGTAGATCTTTCAGGATGATTTCGGCGTGCCTTGGATCAGGCTCATAGGAGATTACTCCTGACCTCTCGTCGAAGCGCACGAGACGGTTCAGGACGCAGAACTCCTGTTTCTTTTCTCCTGGTCCAATGCTGCCATCAACCCTTAGGTCGTACTTCTTCCTTAAGACCTTTTCCACATGTGCTTGACCATCGTCATCGGCGAGAATCAGAAAGTCGTCGCCGTGAACCAAAAGTCTTGTCTCTGTTGCGCTATTGTAAAAGATAGCTGGCCAGGCGGGACATCTAACGAATCCGGCTTCCAGTAACGCGGCGGTGTAGTCGGCTTGCCATATTGCCGCAGCGTCCCTGGTGCCATACATGGATCGTAGCAACTTGCCCACCATGCCTGGCTCCTGATCTCCTTCAGGCAACGTGACGTATATATCCCTTTGGGCCTTCCCATAGAAGTGGGCCCTGGATATATCCAGCAAGCGTAGCTTCAAAGGTTTTCGTCCCTTCTTTGACGTTTTCAGCGTCACCATAAGAGACAGCAACAGCTTGATTGCTTCCAACGGGGGCATTGCACTAAAGCTCGCATGTTCCGGGATGAACTCGGCGTTCTTTGCACGCTTGACTTCCCTGCAAACAATTCTCGAGCGATAGTTGGGCCGCTCGTTGTCTCCTTTGTTGCGGTCTACCCACTTCATGGTGATTGGAACCTTTCCAGCTGCCCTTGCTTGCTCTTCGGGAACTTTCTCGTAGAGGTTTTGTTTCCACACCCATTCGAGTTCCTCTCGGCGTGCAGCAGCCACTTTATCCAGGTCCAGTTCTGCTCCAGTGTTGGAGTCTATTACGGGTCCTTGGATTTGGTGGCCCACGTCGGGAAACTGGTTGTAGATCTCCTCTTCTTCGTCGATCACGGGTGGAGAGTCTGGAACAGGTCCAGCCTCCATCGCATTTAACGCTTCTGAGAACTCACCATCCTCCACCAGCTGTTGGCGGAACGCCATCAGGATTCCTTTTACCAACTTGGGTGGATACTTTTGTGCTGCGCGCGCTCGACCATTGATAAGGCGTACGTGGCGGTGCCACACCTTGCCTTCGGTGTTCGAACACGCTCCTTGAAGCACATCGGCAACGCATCGCGAGTTTGTCAGCCATCGCGTCTCTTTCTTCACCAAGCCTTTGCCCTGGGCATCTTCCGACTCCATGCCCCAACGGCACATTGGCCCGGTGACCTCGTACACGCGAGGGTCGGCTCGCAACTCTTTCACTTCCGGTTCTTCCCAGCTCCGTGCACCTTTTGGGTGCTCGTGTAGGAAATACCTTCCGGCTTCCATTTGCTTCCAGTATGCCTGAACGGCTGTTCGCAAATGTTTCTTTCCTTCTGCCAGTCGTTTGCGTCTCACTTCGACAGGCACTTTTGCATTTGCGTCAACCAAGTTTTGCAGGACAGAGAACGGCCCACATGGGGGCGATCCTCCCAAGAACTTTGGCTCTTGCTCGTCCAGTAGCACGAACAGCTCGCGCACGTGCGAGTCTTTGCTTAGATCCCAGTAGTCTCCATCTGGTCGTTGGGTTTCCAGGTCAATGGAAAATCCAGGCCTCATTCCAACGACATGTGCTTGCGCCGCTACTCGCGGCGGGGAGAAAATCTCAGAGATCGTGCCCTTCGCTCGTGCGTCCCTCAGGACAGCGCACAAGCACTCAGTAAGTTGACCCAGCTCGATTTCTCCGTCCCCGTTGCCTCCAGCTGAACCAGCTGATGGATCCACGGGCTGTCGTTCGGGCTGAGGGTCACGGCTTCCTGCAGAAGGAAGCGGTCCCATTTCGACGACTGCTCCAGAGTCATCTTCAGGCTTTCCTTTCGCACTCTCAGCCTGCATCCTCTGATGCAGCTCTTCGAGGTCTTCGTCAGGGACTCTCTTGTTTCCCTTTCGTTCCTGCCTCCTTTTCTTTTCACTTGATCCTCCTCGAGCTTCTTCCCGCTCTCTCAGATCTTTGGCCACATTTCGTTCTAGCGGTTCTCCGGCTGCTTCTCCCGCAGCCATTTCGGCATCAGGCTCTGGTGCGCCTACCAACACCGGTGCGTTAGCAGCTACCACAGCCTCGGGTGCCCCTCCTCCGGGCTTTGGTCTTCGCCCAGCATTCAACCGATCTCGGACAGCTTCAATGCGTGCCCTTCCTTCTTCAGTCTTCTGAAGCTCGGACTGAATCCGCAATCTGCACTCATGATTGTGCGACCTATGTGGTAGGTCACACATCTGAGCATCGCACCCTGGGCATAACGGTGTGAACCCATGCTTTTCAAGATCAGATTTCAGCACGTACAGATTCCTTGGAATCACTTCTTCCTGTGGCAGTCGCCTCGGCTGTGCCACGACGGCCGGCATCTCAACCCTCAGTTGGCCCGGCTCCCGCGCTTGGAGTCTCCAGGGAACACCCCGAAGTTCACTCCAGTTTTCGTACTTGTACTGATCTGCAGTCTCGTCACAGACGCTCCTTTCACCACACCTCTGGCTGTCATAATGAACACGTCGTTGTTCACCCCGACGCCTACAAACATGCCCATACTGACCCTTGGCTCTAGGTCATGCTTTCTCCCATCTCGCGGTTGTCTTGGTCGGAACAATACATGTTCCCCGAAACTCACCAATGGCGTGCGCCACTTTCTACCGAACGTCCTTTCGTAAGGAGTTCGCCCATCCGCTCCAACGCGGAACCGCGATATTAGATAGGCTGCATGGCGTGGAAGCCAATGCATACAAGGGTGCGTCGGCTCGATGTTGAATCCAAGCCGCTCTTGCAGGTCCGACAGGATTGCCCGGATCTGCCGCTTCATTTCTCTCACTGCGACCTCAATGTAGCCATTTGACTGGTGGTCCTCCACTGGGACCTCCACGAGGTGGATCTTCAGATTCATTTCATCCTTCACTCTTCGCTTGAGCGCGAGGATCCCGTTCTCGTTGTCGCTCCAGAGCTCCTTAAATCCTGTTTCAGCCAAGCAGCGTTTTAACCACTCTACTGCAAACAGGTCAGTTCCTTTTGCTGGAACGACGCTAGACCAGTACCTACCAGTCTTGTGACACTTAACTACCAAACACGGTAAAACCCCTTCACTCTCGCTCTTTTCTTGGCCAGAGTTCAGGTAAAAGTAGTCTAGTGAAACGTAAGGCAACCTACCCTCATCAGCATCGGCAGGTTCCCCTGTTGCGTGGCGTGGTGCCGTGACTCGAGCACGGCAGCAGTGGATGCACCATGAGCGGTGCACGCTGTGGCCCGTGGCCCTGTGCTGGTCGATCTCCTCCTGGCTCGGGTCGGCAGGAGATCGCTTCACGATCGCCATCCTCGCTTCTTCGCCTGCTTCTCCATCTCCAGCGGCTTCGTCGCCGCCGGCCGCTCCCGCAGGAGCCTCTGCAGGTCTTACGCCTCTGGCTGCCCCTGAAAAGGAGCACTTTCTTCTTTCTCTTCGGCTTCACCTGTGGCGTTCAGCTCGGGCGCGTTGGTCTGGCGTGGCCGGACCCAAAAGTCCATCATGTAGATGCCGTTCTCCACATGCACTGGCGTGAGCTGCGCTCCGTGGCGTCTAACCAGCCCAGCCATGAACTTTTCGTACTCCTTGGCAGCCTCGCTGCCCAGCGGGATAAGGCACCCGCCGCGCCTCGACAACGCCAGGTGGTGACCCATGGCCACTTTGCTCCCCGACGCCAATGGGCGGTGAACGTTGGTAACTCTCCCGGCTACCCCTTTCGGGTTTCCGCGGGAGTCTGTGCCCTGAATGCACAGGCCACCTTCGTCTTGCATCACTTCGGCACTTGCCGTCTTGTAGGTCGTGCCGCTCGTGGGTCCGAGGTCGTAACCCATGCCCTTGAGCACTTCGGCAAGTTCGGTCGGGATCGCCGTGGCGGCGGCTCCCGTGTCCAGATTCAACCTCATGCGCTTCCACCCATCCACATCCTCGACCACTCCAGCCGAATCGGCCAAAGTGCCAAAGGAGTTGACAGGAACTGCTCCTGCATCGGGTGGTCCTCGTGGCCACTTTGGACCCTTTGGCCCGTCGTCTCTGTCGGGTGGAGGCTCGTTTTCGTCCTCCTCCTCGTCGTCGTCCTCCGGGTTTCCCTTGTTCCTCATCTCGCGCTTGCGCTTCCGGCGGCTCAAGTTCTTTCTCTGGTAGTACCCAGGCGGGCGCTTTCGAGGCTCCTTCGCCTTCCTTTCCGGGTTCGTTGCCAACAAGACCTCCTCGTCGTCCGGCTCCTGGCGTAGGTTCGCCCTCGCCCTCTTCGACAGCGGTGCGGCCTCAACAGCAGGCTCGTCGGCATCCTTGTCGCGCACTCGCTCGTCGACCGTGACGGTCTCGCCTTCGAAGCGGTCTGTCTTATCGATCTTGTGGCTGGACCCTTTTGAGTCGTACCGCCGGTGCCACTCTTGATCCTTTTCGATGCGGTCTGCGACGCGCTCTTTCAAGCCTTCTCGGCGATTCAGCAACGCTCTTCGGCGTCCCTTCTCGTTCTTCCAGGCTTGGTGGTGCGGCACTCCGGCCGCCCTGTCGGCAAAATACCGACTGTCGTGAAACGACTGGTCGTCGATATTTTCGCGCGTGATCACGATACTCTGCCGTGGCCGGTCGCGCTGCAGAGCTCGCCTTTGCTCTTCCATTTTCCTCTGCTCCTCTGGGTCTTCTTCTGCGGCGATATTCTGCCTCAAGGTCTCGGCCAAGGAACTTTTGAGCATCGCAAGCGACCCCGCTGTGAATCCGCTGCTTCGCCGCGGTCCTTCCGCTTTCGGCGTACTCTTTGCTGCGGGCTTAGGTGGCGGACCCTGGGGCTCGCTGGGCCTCCGAAGGTCTTTCCTCGGCGCTAGCGTCCTCTTCGACGACGTGACCTTTGGAGTGCCTCCAGGCGAACCGCCCGGAGCACGACTCCTTGTCTCCGCCTCTTCGTTTCCTTTCTTCGCCTTCTTGTCCTTCTTCTCTTTCTTTTCCTTCTTCTCTTTCCTTCGCTCTTCCAGCCGGCGCTTTGCTCTTCCAACGGCTTCTTCCGCGAACCGCCGCACTGCCGAACGACCACGCGTCCGCCTCTCCGAACACGTGTCGCAATCGGTGCCTTGCGCCTTCAAAGCAGCGTCTCCAATCGAGCCTCTGGGCAGGGCCTTTCTCATCTCCTTCTTGTGCTCGATCCTTTCTGAGAAACGCATGCTGCTCCACTTCTCCTTGGGCAGGAGCGCGAAGCCTTTAGACGACGTCGCGGGCGCCTTAGGCTCGTCTTCGGACGACTCGTCCCCGCTCGGGCGCGTAAGCTCTCGCTTCGGCACCTTCGGCATCGCCTTCACCTTCACTTCAGACTTAGGCATGCGCTTGAACAACGGTCCCGCTTTCGGTGCCTTTGGCCTAGGCATTGGCTTCTGCTTCGGTCTCGATGGCGCTGGCTGCTTCGGGTCGGCGACCATCGGCATATCTAGCGCAGGCTTTGTGGTCACAGGTGGCTTAGGTGGAGCGGCACGTGGCGTGGCGGGCGCGGGTGTTGAGGTCGCGCTGGCTCCTGAACCCAACGAAGCAAGCTGAGCCGCCTGCTGCTCTATGATCGCCCCAAGGGCCAAGTTGACACGCAGCAAGCGCGCCATTCCGGTCTCTTCCGTTTCTTGCGAGGACCCCGCACCGGAAGGGAGTATGCCCATACTTCTCAGGGCCTCCGACGAACTAAGGCCCTCGCTCCTGGCTGAACCAGCCTAGAGCCGAGCAACCTTGCCCTGAAGGCCGGTGTAAGGTCCAGATCCCTTAGGAAATTCCCAAGGTGTCCCCACAACCTTTGGAGGTGGCGGAGTCGAAACAGTTTCCGCACCAGGCGTGCCCACAACAGCGTGACGTTGCGTCGTGCCCTTCTAGCACACAGTCGCAGTACAAACATTCACCGCTGGAACGCAACCGAGCGCTCCGCTACCATGATTTGATATTAGCGACGCTCCTATTTTCCTTGAGCCAAAAGTAGCGTTAGTCGAGGTACATGTACTCATCCCTTTAGGAGAATACGTGTCCGGAATCAACCCAAGACCTTGAGCCCTAAATCCTAAACCCTAAACCCTAAACCCTAAATCCCAAACCCTAAACCCTAAACCCTAAACACTAAACCCTAAACCCTAGCCCTAAACCCTAAACCCTAAACCACCCCCTGGGGCCTTCGGTGAGCAGACTTCGGGCGAGCAGACTTTGGGCGTGGCGCCTTTGGCGAATGGCCGCCCACGGCCGCCATGGCTTGGGGGCTGTTTAGGGTGTTGGGAATGTAAAGGGCTTTGGGGTTTGGGGTTTAGGGTTTGGGGTTTACGGTTTAGGGTTTAGGGTTTAGGGTTTAGGGTTTAGGGTTTAGGGGTTAGGGGTTAGGGGTTAGGGTTTCGGGCTCACCTAGACCTGAGAACCCAGCGCCCGATCTTTGTCGAAATGTACTATGACACCTCGAAAAACTGTTTCAGATGCAGGCCTGTGTCTTAATGCCCTTTGTCGTCTCTTTACCCTAAACCTTAAACCCTAAACTCGAAACCAAAACTCGATAAAACCCCATAATCCCTGTAAACCCAAACCCTATGAACCCTAAACCCCAATCCCCCTTCCAGCTTAATCATGTGACATTCAACTCGTATCCATCCTGGAGACAGCAACTTACATGGCAGAGTACAGCGCGCGAACCTCTTAGGGTTTAGGGCTTGGGGTTTAGGGTTTAGGGTTTAGGGTTTAGGGTTTAGGGTTTAGGGTTTAGGGTTTAGGGTTTAGGGTTTAGGGTTTAGGGTTTAGGGTTTAGGGTTTAGGGTTAGGGTTTAGGGTTTAGGGTTTAGGGTTTAGGGTTTAGGGTTTAGGGTTTAGGGTTTAGGGTTTAGGGTTTAGGGTTTAGGGTTTAGGGTTTAGGGTTTAGGGTTTAGGGTTTAGGGTTTAGGGTTTAGGGTTTAGGGAAGAGTCTTCAATCTGCATGGTCCGTAGTCAGGCCGACATGCGCGCGTCAGCTGATTCCTGAAGGCTGAGCTCAAATCCCGGCCCAGGACCCCTTCCGACAGCTTGAGAGAGTAACCCTGAGCCGCATAAACCCTGAACCCTGGACCCTCGACCCTCAACCCTAAACCCATTAAAGTCATGAAAGCCATGAAAGCCATTAAAGCCATTAAAGCCATTAAACCCATTAAACCCATTAAACCCATTCAACCCTAAACCCCAAACCCCAGACCCTAAACCCTAAACCCTAAACCCTAAACACCAAGCCAATCTCCCTTGCAGCAGGGGCGCGCCGCGGCCACCAGGCAGCTCTTCTGCGATCTCCTCTTTAAGCTCTTGTGTGGGATTCGGGATTTTGCTGGGACGTTGTGGTAAGATGACCTGCGGAGTCTGCTGAAAACCCTGAATTCCCAAGCCCCTAATAGGGTTTGTAGGGTTTATAGGGTTCATAGGGTTCATAGGGTTGAAAGGGTTTGCAGGGTTTGACTTAGGAATAGGGTTAGTAAGATCGGTTGGGGGGGTTGAAACCGGGTTTCTGTGATATGGGTATTTCCAAAAATAGGGGGTACCCCGTTTATACCCCAAATAGAAGAGAATCCCCCTTAAAGGGACCCTCCAAAAGGGTACCCCTACTTTCGGAAACCCTAAACCCTAAACCCTAAACCCTAAACCCTAAACCCTAAACCCCAAAACCTGAACCCTAAACCCTGTGCTTAGACCCCAAATTTAGTAAGCACAAAAGAGCTTCTAACGTGTCCTTGTCATTCTCAGGACCCACTTTGCGCGACGGCGGAGCGGAGCGGAGCAGGTGGAAAGCAGCTTCGAGCCCAGGGCGAGTGGAGCGGACGCTGTTGAGGCTTTGGGGCTTTAGGGCTTCTACTCTTTAGTGTATTCTGGCAGCTGTAACATGTCGGGGATTAAAGGGTTTAAGTATCATTCTAGTAGGTATACAGAAAGATCAGGATAGCTTCTGCCGAGGTTTGCGCCAAACTTAATTCGCGTTACGTTGCTCTTGAAGGCTGCCCGGCCACGCAGGTTGCAAAATCTATTGCCCCACTGGCTGCCATTCGCCCACTTCCCCAAACATGAAACCGCCCCTCCAGCCTGCAACAGCGAAGTGCGCGCTACAAACCTAAACACCAAACCCTGAACCCTGATGATGGTGATGACTACTATTATTCATGTGATGGTGATGACGGTGGTGATGATGATGATGATGGTGAGTATGATTTGTAGACATGTCCCCGATTGAGGGTATGGGGCTTAGCCTGCCAGACTTCGCCGGCCGCACCCCGGCCAAGGAGACGCTCCTGCGGGAAACGTGGACACAGCGAGACTCCGAAGCCCCGAAGGGTAGGTTTAGGGTTTAGAGTTTAGGGTTTCGGGCTCAGGCGTGCATGAAGCTTTCTTTCTTCAAATACGCCGGGTTACCACCCCAAAAAAACACATGTCCGCCAAGACAGAGCAAAATCTCCCCCTTTGACACATGTCTTGAGGGCATATAGGGTTTAAACACTTCAAGAGGCAAGAGGCTCTAAACCCCGCTAAACCCTCAATCCTAAACCCCCGCTTCGAACTACCCCATGAACCTTCATGGCACAGGGGGAGGGTTCGGAGGGATTGAGGCTCTGGAGGTGTTCAGCCTTCAGCCTCTGGGGTGCAGCGGGGTGCTGTGAGGGCAAGCTACTCCCAGCCCGAAACTCCAAAAACCTCAAAACCCTTCAAGCGCCCCAGATCCTAAAACACTAAACCCCTAAACCCCTAAACCCCTAAACCCCTAAACCCCTACACCCCTACACCCCTAAACCCCTAAACCCCTAAACCCCTAAACCCCCAAAGCCCCTAAACCCCTAAACCCCTACACCCCTAATCCCCCAAACCCCTAAACCCCTAAACCCCGAAACCCCTAAACCCCTAAACCCCGAAACCCCGAAAACCCCAAACACAGCCGAGGCGGCTCAGCCGAGGCGGCGCGCGCCACCGTTTAACAAGCGTGAGCTTAGTAAGGCAAAAAGCGATTGGTAGACTCGAGATATCCTACGAGTGACCCCATAAACTGCCCAAACCCTGAACCCTCAACCCTCCCCAAACCCTAAACCCTAAACCCTAAGCCCTAGATCCACCCGACTCTGTGCTGTCCAGGCGATACGGGATCGGTGGCTCAACGTGCCCTGGCACACTCTAGGTTGGAGGGCTTGGGGTTAGGGGTTTCCCCATCATGGACCCTCCGCCCTAAACCCCAAACCCGAAACCCTAAACCCTTAACTCGAATGGCATGTCCTTACTTAGTTCAGGGACATTAAAGCTCGTTCGGTGGGATGGTGGGCATGGCTTGGAAGGGCCAGGGGCTTAAGGTTTAAGGTTCAGGGTACTTTTGTACTACCCCCACTTTAAACATCTTCTAAGTACATGATCTGGGCTCTGCTTGGGTCATCAGCCACAAGTCAAGTGACTTCCCCCCATCCCCCCTGTTCCACCCCCTACCAACCCTAACCCCTAAAACCCTAGTAACCCTGAACCCCAAACCCTACTTCCGAAGGTATTGGGCTCTGTGGGGAATCCCCGAACCCTAAGCCCTAAACCCTAAACCCTAAACCCCAAACCCTAAACCCTAAACCCTAAACCCCAAACCCTAAACCCTAAACCCGCAGTTCGTTCTCGGGCGCCTGAAGGCACGGAGTCCATGTGTGGTCAGAGCAGAGATGTGGCGAAGATCTAAGGGCCTAAACCCTAAACCCTCAACCCTAAACCCTAAACCCTAAACCCTAAACCCTAAACCCTAAACCCTACATGGGCCCTTAAGGTTGTACCCTTGGGTGTCGGGGATCCTTTTTTAGGGGTCCTTTCGGTCGTCTAAGGGCCATATGTGGAGTACGAAGATCTAAGGGCAGTTACATGGGCCCTTAAAACGGTCGAACATCCCAAGTTTAGGCTTTAGGGTGCGAAAAGTGTTCGGGAGCTGTCTAGGTTTGAGGTTAAGACATACGTACATGGTTAGGGCTTATAGGGTGTAGGGTTGAGGGTTTAGGGTTCAGGGTTTAGGGTTTAGGGTTTGACTACGCCACAAATATGCGCCCGCGCTATGAGCCGGAGCCGCGTGCACAGTGCCAAGCGAATGCAGACCTGCATCAACCCTGGGTTTAGGGCTTGGGGTTTAGGGTCTAGGGTTTAGGGTTTAGGGTTTAGGGTCTAGGGTTTAGGGTCTAGGGTTTAGGGTTGAGGGTTTAGGGTTTAGCAGCTCCTATCTGCGCTTGCATTTGCAACCCGAAATCCTAAAACTCTCCAGCCCCAACAGGTTTATTCGCCACCCTGCACCCTGAAACCCTAAAGCCTCAATACTCAACCACGCTTCACAGCCCGAAACCCCAGAAATGCTGCCCTACGAACTCATCCATGGATACCTTTGTAGATATGAAGTAGGCTGTTCAATGCTAGTATCCCAGAAGGGCACCTCATGTGACATGTGCACTCGGCAGTTCTAGAAGTAACCCCCTGCGCAGCAATAGCTTATTGGCTCAGAATCATCCCAAACAGGGGTTGCATAAAAGGACGCAAGGTAAACTCTAAACAACCCCTAAACCCAAAATAATTCAAAACCCTAAATAAACCCCAAGCCCCAAATAATCCGAAACCCTAAACAAAACTAAGCAAACCCCTAAACCCTGAGTAAACCCAAAACCAATGAAGGCCCTACTTGCACAGACCCCCCAAATACTGCCCCATACTACTAAACCCTAAACCCTAAACCCTAAACCCTAAACTCTAAACTTTTAAGGGGATCTACTGTTTGGATCCTCTCAAGGGTCTGGGTTCGTACGAGGTGCCACTGCGACCGTTGGACTCCTGAAAACTCGCCTTAATCTTTGGAAAGTGAAGCCCCTGAACCCTGAACCGTGAACCCGAAACCTTAGGGTTTAGGGTTTGGGGTTTGGGGTTTAGGGTTTAGGGTTTAGGGTTCAGGGTTTA